TTTGCAGCCTGCATTTCCTCTTTATGAAAGCTGAGGCTACAGTGTGGGTTTTCTGGCCCTCCTCCTCTTCACTGTGGTTGGTCTTCCATTCCTCAAAGGTTCCAGGGCAGCAGCCACAGGGTCGCTGGATTCGTGCATCCTTTGCCCACTGCCATGAGACAAGCTGGCCCTCACCAGGCTCCAGAATCTGGTCTCAAAGACACTCATCTAAAGGCGACCAGGAGCTCTCTTACCATCTGTCACTTACCTTGGGCTAAGCCCCCGCCCCTGCTCTAGCCTTCCCCATTAAATTTCTTTCTGCAAAGCAGGGAGGGGAGAGAGCTTCTCCACTCCCTCCCTGGAGTCTCTTCACATCTCACCATGTTCCCAAGCAAAGTGCTGGTCCCCTCCTGGCTGTTGGCTTTGTTCTAAACTTTGGTCTTTCTAGTTAAAAGCGCTTTCTGTTCCTTCCCTTCTGCATTTTCAAGGGCCTCGGTCTTTGCAAGCTTTTTGGTCTTTGGCACACTGCCTTCCGGGAGCGTGTCACCGCCGTGACCTGTCCTCACCCAAGCACTGTGCCCTTCTCCCCACTACCCCACCCCACCCCCGCCACAGCCAGTGCAAGGTCTTTAGACATGTTGCGTTCACTGGTTAACTGGGCTCCTCTTCATGGAGACGATTTGCAGTGGCTCTATAAGCATTTGTTTTGTGACTTCCTTGAAGGCCATCTGGCTTCAGCCCCAACTGAACTGTTGTACTGAAGCAGAGGTAGCAGGTCCGACTGTGCCATCCTGTGTTGCTCAGAGTTCTCCAGTGACACAGCTGCTGTCTCTGAAGGGGGTCTATCCTTCCATTTCACCAGCTAGTCTTCCCCTGTGGGTCCTGATTTTGTCCAGAGAAGCAGAACTTTGTCACTTTTGTGGCAAAGCAGAAACCTCATAGGTGTCCGCCTTTCCACTGGGGAGGCTTGGAACTCTCTGGGCAGAGGCCTGCTCCCCTCCCTGGTCTGACTCTAGCACGCTGCCCAGCCCTCAGCTCCAAGCCGGAATCTCCTACAGAAGCAGATCATCCTGAGCCTGGGTCTGTCTTGTCTCTGTCATTCCAGGGCCACAGAGGGAGCAGCAAGAGCCAGAGCGGGCCCCTGCTCTTCCCTCCAGGGAGGTCCTATGTCCTGCTCTTGCCAGCCCCTCCTGGGAGCCTCAATATCCTGTCATTCCCTGGACTCTCTAGGGGGATAGTCCAACAAGGTCTCTTGACTTGAGCCACAGGAGAAGAGAGAATAAGTGGTCTTCAGACTTTATAGTCCTAATAGAAGAGGGCGTGTTCATGGCTTCAAGTCGGCACCACGTCTTGATCCTTGCACCCCTGGGAATCCAGATCCCATCTCCTCTTGGATCCTGAGCCCAGCACTCATGGGCTCTTTCCCAGTCATTTCCTGGGGCTTCTCTGCAGTAAAGCGCTGTTCCAACGCACGGCCCTCTTGGAGACCCCCACCCCATTTCCTTGCCTCTGTTCTCGGCACTACTACTCCTTCCAGCTTATCGTCCCAAGGCAGGCGAGCTCCAAGGCTCAGCGTCATCCCTGACAAGTGCACACTCCAACCCAGGGGCCGGCCCTGTTGCCTGTTTTCCTCCCCACTGTATAGAAGAGGGTTTGGGTCAAGGCCACAGACTGGGTGGTGGGGACCATGTGTTAACAAGGGCAAGGGGAGTAATGGCCCAGAGGACAGAGCTGTCATGAAGAGCCCTGGCTGGGCCACACTGCAGGGGATTCTGTTTGGGCCAGAAGACACAGGTTTGAACTGGTGTGTGTGAGAGAGATCATTAAATCTGCATTTTACAAAGTCCCTGCAGGTCTTAGAAAATAGGTCAGAGGTGACAAAAGTGTAGGGCGGGCAGAGGAGAAATGTCCATAAAAGAGCCAGGTTCCTGTGAAGCCTGAGGAAGAGGGCGGATGACAAGGAATGGTCTACCCAGCCCCATGGGTGAGCATGCAGGTCTACAAGGTGAGAGAAGAGGAAGGAGAGAGCTTGCTCGTCTCCAGACCTTATCAAGCCCTGAGGCAGGAAGGCCTGAGGGGCTGAGGAGCCAGGGAGGGTGGGGAGTAGAGTGTGCAGCTGGCCCAGAGTCCCCGGAACCCAGAGCAACAGGCAGAGGGCTGGGCTCTGGGGAGTCAGGAGCAGGGGACAGTGGGTGTGACGACAGCAGGGGGCTGCTGCTGAAGAGGCTAAAGCACATGTGTGTGTGGGAGGCCTGTCAGATAATGTGGGTTTGCATCCCGTTCCCCAGCCTTGGTCTCTCCACTTGTCCAGTGGGCATAACAAGGCCCTTCCTCAGAGCGGCAGGTGTGAAAGGAGACCATGGACGTGACCAACACAAGTGAGTGTGCCATTAACATCAGCTACTCTTCTTGGCACAAAGGAGGGACCATTCTGGACAGATGGGGCACCCATCTTTGGTGGTGGCAGGAGAAAGAGCTGGGAGTGGGCCTTAGAAGGTGTGTCTGGGGACCATGAGGAAGAAGGTAAGGAGAGACTGGGGGAGGGCTAGGTGCCAGGGCTGAATCAGTGCCATGTGTGGGAAGGACTTTGGGAAATCTGGGTCCAGTCCTGGCTCTGATGCCATTGCTGTGCATCTTCGGGAACACCCTTTCCTGCTCTGAGCTCTCCCCTCTTCTGTAAAGAAGGTGGCTGGACTCACCCATCTCTAACCTCCTGCTTTTGAGCCTAGAACTTTCTGGAAGTCAGTATCTAGACAGAGCAAGGCCCATCCTGTCATCCAGAATGGGCCTGGCCTACAGGAGCTGCCCAGGAATTAGCGAACTGACTGGGCCTCACGGAGGCTGCAGGGCTGCAGACACCCGAGGGCCAAGCTGCTAACCCTAGCCTGTAACTCCAAGCCTGACGAGAAATCCAGAGGCTGCAGAGGCCCTGCAACTCCTGCCACACCCCAACTAATGGGGCCCAACCTCCTCCCCTTGCCCCCACTCCCCACCTTATACAGATCAGCAGTGAACCAACAGACCCGGACCCAAGGCTGAATGGCAGGTGCAAGACTGGCTTGTCCCCCAGCTGAGGGTGGCCTGAGAGTTAACAGGAAGGCTGGGATGAGCATCGGGGAGCTGAGCACAGGGAGGAGGAGGCTGAAGATGAGCAGGGAAGGGTAGGAGGTGCAGTGGCCCCCAAGACGGCTGGGCCTTACCAGGGACAAAGGACAATATGCAGATGGGGAGCAGGTCTTCTCTGTCCCTGAGGGGACTCCTAAAGGGGAGGGGATCCAGATCCAGAGCACTGGGACTGAGTGCAGGAGGGAGATGAGGATTCCAGGGACGGGGCAGTGCTGGCAGGGACGACCTCACTGGTCATGGGAATAGCGGCACATAGCGGATGCTCTGTGCCCAAACCCAGGGGCCCTGGAGGGGGCGCCCGCCACCCTGCCCTCACCTGCTGCTGGGCCTGGATCCTCATGTACTCAGCCCTCTGCTTGCCGTGCTTTCCTTTGTCAGGGCTGCTTGCTTGGCCCTGGGTCGCCTTCAGCCGAGAGGCTCCTGGAGTCACCACCTTCATGGGCGGCACGCTGCCACCACCACTCTGCAGGAAGAGAAATAGGGTTGGGGTTGGAGGGTCCTAGTGGAACCCTAAGCACTAGGTGGGGTCTCCTCACACAGGCCCCTGAGAACCTGGAGACCTCTCCCTGGCTCTGCATCCCAGGCCAGAACTCGGGCTACTTTCTGAGCCTAGGTCTAAGGCCTCCGTGCTGGAGAGAGACAGAACCCCAGCCTGGATCCCAACAGTTCCTGAATGAGAACTCTGGGTGGTTGGTGGCCCAGTGACAGCTGCGCCCTCTTGGGGAGGTCACTTCTAAAGTGCAAGTCCCCAGCACCACACCCACTCCCAAGCAAAAGGGGCACCACCCTGGGCCTGGAGTTTGGGGTTAGGGTCAGGTTCTCTAGTGACAGACAGAGCGGGACTGACGGTCCCAGCCCACACCTTCCTGCTGAAGTCTCTCCAGAGATGGGCAAGTCTGGCTCCCTAAGCTCCTCAGCTACCAGGCCTACCCAGGAGGTTCCGGGTAGAGAACAGAGGCACGGACAGAGAAATGACAGAGACAGAGATCTGAGTCCGAGACAGGAGTGGGGGAAGCCTGGAGTGGAAAAGGGGGAGAGAACTTTATTTCTTGGTTTACAGATACAGAGCAGAGAGAGAGGGGCCTCTGGATCTTGCCAAGGCTGGGAGGGCTGAGTCCTGAGTGGGCTGGCTTCCCAGCCTCCCCCGGCTCAGCCTGAGAGCCCCAGCCTGGTAGCAAGCTCCCAAGAGGGTGGTGAGCTGAGAAAAGGAGAGCGGGAGGAGGGGCTGGCTCTCGCGGCCCCCACTCCCTGCCCTCCGCAGGCCCAGAGACTAGAGTGTGAAGGCAGCAGGGGTGGGTGGGAGTGGCAGCCACCTGGGGGCTGCGGGGCTGGGGTGAGGGGCTGCCAGGGGGTCCGACGGCAAGGGCTGTGTCCATCTCGCTCAGGGTGGCTTCTAGTTCCCGGAGTGTCTCTTCCAGGCTGTCCGTCCGCTGGGGGGCGACACCTGGCACTCTGCCGCCTTGGCCAGCTGCAGCCTGCCCCCCACTGCAGGTTTGAGTGTCACGTCCAGAGTCCTTGGGAGTCTCCTCCGAGTGGGTCTTGGCAGCTGAGGGCTCCTGAGTCTCATTTGGGGTTGGTCCCCAAGGACAGGGGACTCTGGCTCTTCCATCCTCTGAGCTAAGGCTTCCCATGCTCGGGCTCTTCCAAGCTGTCCCTTCCTTCTCGGGCATCCAGCTGCCCTTGGGCCAGGCAGTCTCTGCTCTGAGCCCAGGCAGGGCCTGGGGGCCGTCCCAGGTCCTCCCATTGCCAGCCAGGGTCCTCGGTCTTGGAGTGGGGGCTGTCCCGGGACCTGGTTCCTCCAACCTGGCCTCTGGCGGGGAGGGAGGGTTGGGGGTGCACTCTGTCAAGATGATCCGTGGGATGCAGAAGGCCCTGGGACCTGGGGCAGCCTGGCGGGGAGAAGGAACGTGAGGAAGAATGTGATCCTGGCAAAGCAAACCCCGAGCTCGGATGGGGGTTAGACACAGGTGAGTTTGGCCCCTTCCTCTCACAGATGGGAAAACTGAGGTCAGGGTGGGGGGATGTTCCTGACTGAGAGAGGCAAAGCCCTACACCCCACCTGATGGTTTGCTACCTTCTGGTAAAGATGCCTGCTTACACAGAGGCACAGGTACACGTTTGTGTCTTACTACCCATGCCAAGCCTGGGAGCCAGCCTCAGAGAGTCTACCCACCATGCAATGGGAAAACAATAACAGAGGGGAGGAAAGAGAGAGAGTTCATGTGGACAGGTGCTCCTTAGCACAGAGCCTGGCACGTTGTGAGCGCTCTAGAATACAAACTTAACTGACCCACAGAGACCTTCAGACCTGCTCAGGCAGAGAGCAGATGTCCCTTGGCCTCTGAGGGCGGGGCCATGATCCTCATCTCTAGCCAGATGCTTCTGGTTATTATCCCCACCCCCACCCCCCACCCCCACTTTGTGAGTGCTCTCCAAGGATTTCCAGGGGGAGGGGCTGGCCGGGTCCTCTGCCACACACACACTCAGCACAAGCTCCCTCTGGCATCTGCTTCTGTGTGAGTGTCCAGCAGGGATGCAGAGAGGCCCCGGTCACCCTCCAACCTGAGCAAATCCTGGTTTAATTCTGAGCACCAGTCTGTGCCAGATGCTGTCATATGTCCCCATCTTTAATGCTCACTGTAACCTATGAAATGAACTGCCACTCTCAGTCCCCTCTGTACAGATGAGAAACTGTGGGCCAGGAACAGTGTATGATCCCCACTGTCACTGACCCACAGCTGGTTAGTAGCAGAGCCGGGATTTGAACCTAGATGGTCTCACTCCAGTCTAGTGCTCTTTCCACTAAAAAGCCATGGGGAGCCAGACTCGGTGGTCCATGCCTGTAGACCCAGTGGCTCGGGAGGCTGAGGCAGGAAGATGGCAAGTTCAAAGCCAGCCTCAGCAACCTAGCAAGGCCTTAAGCAACTTGGTGAGACTCTGTCTCTAAATAAAGTATAAAAAAGGGTTGGGGATGTGGTTTAGTGGTTAAGTGCTCCTGAGTTCAATCCTTGGTACCCAAAAGAAAAAGCAGCTGTGTGCAGATGTGTGGGGGCAGCAGAGACCTCAACCACCCCCTCCCAAGGCAACCATCCAGCCCTGCCACCTGCTTACCTGGGAGTGGGGTGCAGCCTGGGAAGACAAACAGGTGACCCATGCTCGCCCAGCTCCATTGCCCGACGGCACCTCAGGACGCAGAGGGTCAGCCAGGCCTAGGCGGCCAGGGAAGTGGCCCTGCCCGCTGGACCCCTCAAAACAGGTCTCCAAAGCCAGAAAGGAACAGGAGCTGGTGCCAGGGGCACAGCCAGCCCCAGAGGCACCCCTTCCACGCTGCTCATCCCCTGATGGCCCCTCAGACTGATCCAAGCCATCCCCTGCCCAGCAGACAGCCTAGTCTGCTCCCACTGCCAGACCACAGTGCCATTAGACCTCAGCCAACCCAGAAGTTGGGGGCAGCCATCTCGGAGCCCACTACAATCCAGGAAGAATCAAGAACGGGAGGTGAGAGTGTGTGCACAGGAGGGCTGGCCCTCCCCAGAACAAGGCCCACTGGCTCCAGTGTGGCCGGGCAGAGGGATCCCCAGACCCTCTCCCACCCGCCTCCCCAGGCAGACCAAGGAATGCAGACAGCAGATCCACCTCAAAGTCCCAAGAAAGAATAAAGAGGAAATCAGTGCAGCAGCACAGCAGCAAGGACTGAAATTAGAGAGAAGGAAGAACTTCCCAGTGCTGAAAGACAGAACCAGCAGCCAAGGAAAGGCATAGGTTTCTTACATTCTAAGCTCCTTGACCAGGGGGCAAGATAGGACCTGAGTCAGGGGAGGCTGTAGGTGAGCCAACCCCTGGGAGTGTCTTGGTCCCAGTGCAAGGCATAGATTCTAGTGGGAAAAGCATCTTCTCCCTGGCACAAGCGGCAGAGCAGGGCATGGGGGAGGCATCTAAGCAAAGGCTCAGGACACTCCGATTTTGAGCTGGACCCTTAAGTCATCTTGTGAGAAGATCCAAACTCCAATCTCAGCCTAAGGCAACACCTGGGCTTCCGGCCACACTAAAAGTCAGGCCTCAAACTGGACCAAAATGCCCGGGCTGCCAGCCTGTGAGGGAACGCAGATTTGGGGGCCACCAGATACCCAGGCTGCTGGGGTCTCCAGGGAAATCCCACCCAGGAGCCAGAGGAAAGGCTGAGTTTTGTGCGGTCCTTGTGAGGGCGGGGCAGGTGAGGTGTGAGAAGCTGGGCAGTGGCAGGACGTGCGCGTTTTAGCAGGTTAGCGTGAGAGGTGGGGGGCTGTGGAGGCACAGGCAGAGAGAGCTGTGAGAGGTGGGGCAGCCCGTTACCTTCCATGTGGGGCCCAGGGCTGTGCCCCCGGGGGGCCCCAGGTCCTGGGGGGACAGCAAGGTGGGGATCGGCTGGCGACGGGGCGTGGGGGGTAGGGAAGACACTGAGCTTCTCTCAAACACCTGAGGAGCAGAAGGTGGGGGCAGGTTTGGAGGAGGGGGCATCAGGAAGGATGGGGGTGCTGCTGGCCAGTGATGCAGGCGCCCATGGGGAGGGTGGCCTGGGGTGGCATGAGTCCCCAGACAGCCTCATCCCTTGACCCCTCACCGTGGCCCCTGGCCAGCTCTGCCCTCCGTTGTGTCTCCTCTTCCAGGGACCCCTGGTGGTCCAGGGTTCCAGGCACTGGGGTGGGAGGGATGGGGTGAAGGGCTGAGGACCCTTGAGTATGGGTGGCTTCCAGCACCAGGAGAGCCTCAGGGCATATGGTCCTGGGGACACTTGGGATGGGGGTCTCAGCACTGAGGGGACTCAGAATATGCCAGCACAGGGCCTTCAGAGTATGGTGGGTTTGGGAAGTAATTGAGTGGGTCTCAGAAACCACAATAAAAACTCAAACCTGCAGGAAGGGGCTTTAACAGACTCCCCATTTTACAGTGGTGAAGAAGTGGGAGGCAAGAAGGATGGGGTCCTGGGGCTCGCCCTGGTCCTGACACATCACCCTAGGGACTGGCAGGGGAACAGGACTGGAAGAGGCCTCAGAGGCCACACATGCCCCTGACCCACCTCCAGCTCGGCGATGATGCGGTCCTCATCGTCCTCATCCTTGATGGCAGAGGCCATGATGGGTGGCGTGGAGGCAGGGCGGGCCACCTCAGACACAGCCCGCCGCAGCTTCACTTGGGGCTTCTGCACCTCCAGCTCCTCAGACTCAGCCTTCTGAAAGGCCCAGGGCCCCATCAAGACCAGAGTCTGTCCCCTCCAGCACCAACTCACCTCCCAGGTCCCACTAGTTCTGGATCACCTCCCTCCTCTCCCGGCTCCGAATCTGTAACTTCCTTTGTCCCCTTCCAGGAAGCCCCACCACAGGCAGAGGCCTGGGTGGAATCAGGGCAAATACTCATAACCAGGATCCCACTACAAGTCCAGAGTCCCACTGTCCAGTGGTCTTCCCACCCACTGCCTCGGAGAAAGGGCTCCCTCCCACTCCAGGGGGTGCCCAGAGGTCGTCTCAGGCTTCCCCCTAATTCAGTCTCTGCTTCTGCCCAAGGGGAAGTGGTACCTTGATGAAGGCTGAGTCTTTCTTGCTGGTGACCACCACCTCTCCAGTGCGTGTGGTGGTCAGGCCATGGGAAGAAGGGAAGCTCCGGCGGGGAGGGGGTGGCGGGGGTGACTTGGAGGGCTTCTCCGTACGGTATCGGGGCACTGTCAGCTCATCTGCAGGCAGCCAATGGGCTGGGGTCAGGGCTGCAGCCCTGTGGTCAGCACACTGCATCTGACCACAAGTGTTGGATAAACCTTGCTTCCTTCTCCAGGAGGAGAGAGGAAAACTAGGGGGCGGGAGGAAGCACACAGGGCCCCTCCTCTGTTTACTCCCCCATGCCATCCAGCCCCAAGCCCTGTCATTCTTCCAATAACAGCACTCTGACCCCTTGCTACTTAAAGTATGTCCTGGGCCAGCAGCATTGGCAGCACCTGGGAGCTTGTTGGAACCACAGTTCAGGACCCGGCCCTGAGCTGCTTAACCAGAATCCTGGGTTAAGCAAGATTGACATCACATCCAAGTTTAAGAAGTATTACTCTAGCCAGGCACAGTGGCACGCGCCCATAATCCCAGCGCCTTGGGAGGCTGAGGCAGGAAGATCTCAAGTTCAAGGTCAGCCTCAACAATTTAGCAAGACTTGTCTCAAGATAAAAAATTAAAAGCACTGGGAATGTAGCTGATTGGTAAGGCGCCCTGGTTCAATCCCCCGTACCAAAGAAGCAGCACCACTCTAGTCTCCTTCCCCTCAGCCCTTGCCACAGGTTCTGAGCACAAGCCCCCCAACCCCCAGCCTGGCCCCACTCACCAGTTTTCTCCCTTCCCCCCAAATCTTCCTCCAGCTTGTTACCAGGACAACATGCTGAAAGGTCACTCAAATCATGACACTCTCCTGCCTCTGATCTTCAGAGGCTCCCATTACCCCAAACTAGTCCAAGCTCCTTAGTCCAGCACCCTCTGCACCTGCCAATCTTTCATTCTCTGCTCTGCTTGTTACTCCTGGTGTGGGCCCTGGGTGGACCCTGGGTGGACCCCGTCAGGCAACAGCAACAGCAAGAGCTCATCTGCCGGCACGGGTACATGCTGCTCCCCTCTCCCTGGCACGGCCTCTCACTGGCCAGGAAGTGACTAATCATTTTCAGACAGTAAAAACTCCCCTCCTCTGGGAAGCTGCCCTGGCCGCCCAGGGCCTCGTCTAGGTGTGCACAGCTCAGGCTCTGCACGGCTCCCTCCAATGGCTGCACTTAGCCCCTTCAGGTTTACATGCTGGGTAAGGCCTAGGGCCAATTACTTAACCATTTTGAGTTTTAGGGTCCTCGTCAGTAAAGTGGGAATAGTTGCTACATCTGCCCCCTGGGACTGCTGTGAAATTATAAAAATGTCAGACACAGAAAGCAGCTGGAACAGTTCTTACTACATAGCAACTGCCTGATAAACACGAATGTTAGTATTATTCCCCTGATAAACTCTGAACTTCTAGAAATTAAGCACCCACTTATTTCCATCTCCCCAGCACCTAGCACACAGGAGGTGCTTAATAATATGTGCTGCAACGGGGCTGGGGTTGTGGCTCAGCAGTAGAGCGCTCGCCTAGCACATGTGAGGCCCTAGGTTCAATCCTCAGCACCACATAAAAATAAATAAATAAAATAAAGGTACTGTGTCCAGCTACAACTAAAAACAATTTTGAAAAATAATAATAAAATTCATTGCAGGAATGAAAGAATGAAGGAAGGATGACTGACTGCCATTTCCCCTTAAAATTTCTGCCTCTCCCCCATTTCTCAGACTCGGGGAGCACAGGATCCCTGTGGGTATCTACCTCTGCACCCTACTCTCAGCCCGCCTGGCTCACAGCAGGTGCTCAGTTCAGCCAAGAGGGGCAGGAGGATCATTCTGCCTGCATGCAGGGTCCTCCCTGCCTCTCAGCAGCCCTCGGGGCAGTGGGAAGGGCCAGAATGGAGTCCAGCTTACCCTGCCCTCTGGGTCTCCCTCTCCCTTCAGTGATCTGAGGCCTGGCCACTGATGGCCAGCGCCCCCTTCTCTGGCAGCCCAAGCACCACGGTGCTCACTCCCCAACCGAGAGCCCTGAGAATTGGGTTCCCCAATTCTGGGCTCCTCACCAGCCCCTCCATCCCCATACCTGAGCCCCTCCTCCCGCTGGGCTCTGTTCGGGGGGCTGCCTTCTGGCCATGGGGTGCCTTGGGGGGCTTGTGGTCCGGGGTGGGGGCTGGGCCCGGGTGGGCTTTGCTGGCACAGTCCAGGTCCGGGATGGCCTTGAGTAGCTCTGCCTGCGTCTCCTCCAGCAGCCGATTGATGTCCTTGGCACTGTACTGGGTCAGGGCTGCCCGCTTCTCTTCCCAGTCCCGCTCTGCAGCCTTGGGGTGGAGGGTCAGCGTCAGTCCAGTGCTAGACCCTCCAGGAGCAGTTGCCCTGACCCAGGACCTCCAGGGCTCAGTCCCTTCTCTATCCACACATGCAAGGGATAGAAAGGAAGCCTCCAGTTGATCCAGCCCCCAGGGGACCTCACCCTTCTCCTTGGGAATTACATGTCATCCGTGTGGGTCACGAAGGTGGCTTCATTATATTACATCCTGTTACTACCTTGTCATATGATATCATGTTTCTGGACATTCTATTCTATTCCATTGACCACAGCCTATTCTTAGGCCAACACCATATTGCTTTGATGATTATAGTTTTATAATATACTTTCTGTCTAGAAGGATGAATGTTACCCTCATTATGCTTCTCAGATTTCCATTAGAGGACTTACTCTCCTCCCCCGAGACAAAGGACCCACTTGCTTAGAGCTTCCTACTCCAGGATGGTGCAAGCACTCGCAGATGCAGCTTGTGCCCCTCGCCCACCCAGGCCCCCGCACCTCAACAGACACAGCCTTGTCCACACTTCTTTTGCCAGAAGGATCCAGGCCTTTGGTGGGGTTGCTGCCCTTGGGGGTGAGAGGGGCTCCCTCGGCCGGCCCGCTCAGCTCATGGAGGTTCAGTGGAGGACTGGGGGGTGGCATCTCAAAGTCCAGCCCCTTGTTGAAGTCAGTCTCAGCTGTCACCTTCTTGGGGGACTGACTGAGGAGGTTGTTGGGGGGTGGCCACACACCCTCATCCACTTGCCTGGGTTAGGAGAGTTAGGAGCAGCTGTGAGGCAGGGTGGAGGCGGGGGTGGCCCCAGGGAATGTGCCTAAGGGATGTGGGGTGCAAGGAGGGCTCTGAGGCTTTCAGAGGAGATGGGAGGATCTGGGGAGGAGTGACTGCACACAGCATCAGGGAAAACTGAGGCTGCAGCTCGGGAGGGGTCACAGGACAGAGGCGAAGTGCAGATGCAGTCAGCACTCTGGGAAACTCTGGGGGAGTCGGGATAGGGCTGGGCATTCCTATGGATCTAGGCCCAGTGTGTGACCCTGTGGGCAATCAGGTCAGGGAGAGAGTGACCTGCGGATCTGCGCCAGCGTGTCTGTGACCCCACGGCAGCGCTTGAGGAGCCCATCCAGGCGCTGCGGCTCCTCCTTCAGGAACTTCACTGCCTCCACCTCCACGCGCAGCACCACCCGCATCTTGCTCTGCAGGCCGGGGAAGTGAGCTGAGGGGACAGGAAGGAGTGAGCTGGGAGGGAGAGAGCACTGAGGACCGGGAGGACAGCGTAGTGGTGGGAGCACGGGCCACACCGCCTGGCACAGACTCACCCTTGAGCTCCGTCAGTGTCTCCCCAAGCTGCTTCAGCACCAGCGCCTTCTCCTCCAGCTCAGGGCCGGGTACCAGCCGGTGATTGTGGGACACATCCCTCTGGATCTTCTCCACCGACTTCTCCAAGTCACTGCAGCCACAGAGATACCCTCTTAGCCCCTCTGGCCCCAGCCAAGCCCCCTGAAATTGAGCAGCTGGAAAGAAATCAGGCCACTATTAAGATCAAAATTGGAAGTTATTCACCAGGCCACATGCCCAAGTAAAACCAGAAATGCCAAATCTCAGAAATGGGGACACTTCCAAAGAGCTCCCACAAAGCCGACCTAGGCCCACCTTGCAAGCTCTGATCTTTAGCAACATCAGCCCAAATCTCCCTTGCTGTAACTTGCAGTCTCTGATTTTTATTCTGCCAAAGAAGCAGTAGAGAATCTGGCCGACTTTCAGAGAACTGGAGGCAGCAGCATGTACCCCTGAGGAGTCCCCTGTCTGAGGAGACACCACCATGCCCATCTACCTTTAGTTAACTGATCAAGCCACTCAGCCTCTTTCCTTGAGGCCAAAACTGCTTTAAGTTTTCAGCTGTTTTATATTGAGCTCATGTCATCTAAGGCCCCACACTTTTCTAAGATGAAACTCAGAACAAGTCACCACCCCTTGCCTCAAGATCCCTAAATGGATCTTGAGACTCACATCCAAATTTCCCAAAGCAGACAAGTGGTGGTTGGAAACTTGACTCTAGAGTCAGCAAGACTGAGATCCAATCCCAGCTCAGCCTTCCCAGCTCTTGAGCAAGTTACCTAATATATCTGGGCCTTGATCTTCTCATGCAAGAAATGAGGGTATCCAGCAAGAGTTCCTCCCACGTGGGCCATGACAAGGATGAACTAAGCTAATGTGAATGGGCTGGTCCCTGGGATCTGCTCTCCCTCCAGCTGCATTCCCCACCCCATCCAGCTTACTTCTGTTCAGGCCGTTCAAAACTTCTCTGAGGTCCTTGTATGTGCAGCCCTTTCTAATCCTTTAAAATGCCATGGTCTCTGCCTAGAACATTCCATTCACTTATACACACACACACACACACACACACACACACACACACACACACGTTAATTTCCCCTTGTCTTTAGGATTCAGTGAAAAACTCTCCCAGGCCCTCCACTTGAGGTCAGGATTTCGCTTCCTGCCCCACAAACCCTTGAAGCTCCTGTTTGCTGGGTTGTACAACCTTCTGGACCATTAACCCCAGGCAGACTATGTCTTCCAGGTTTATCTCCAATTCCCAGCACCTGGCACAGTGCCTGGTATAGAGTAGGTGGCTGGTAAATAACTGTAGAATGAATAAACAAGTGAAAGAACGAATTGCTACAAGTAGGTCATCTCAATTCTGTACTTGAGTCACTGACATCCCACATGTAAAGCCACATGTGGGACTTTACATACATTCCTGTCAAATCCCATCTGTTGGATTTTAGCTCAATAATCCAGGTGCAAACAACTTTTGAATCCCGGTTCCATCATCCCAGATTTGCTCACCCTTAAAGCTCTGTGTCATCCGAAGTCTTATCAGCATGACTAGCAGATGAAAAGATGGACCAGGCTGGAGCCAAGGGCAAAATTCCTATGGCTCAGCACTGCTGGTTAAGGAGCGATCTTGTGTTAAATGCTTACTGCATGCCAGGGGTCACACCTAGCCTTCAGCAGATACTCATCTTACTTCAGCCATTGGTTCAGTTGTCACGGTGGGCTTAAGTCACATTGTCCTGACTGGAGGGAGAGCAGATCCCAAGGACCAGATCCTAGGCCTGACTCTGCTACATGGGAAAGCAAAACTTTCCCCTATATGTGTGTGACACCTGACTGGTTTAGGCTGGGCCAGTTTTATAAAATAGTCACTTCCAAACATCAATCAGAGAAGACACCCTCATTTAAAGCAAGACTCAGGGAAGCCTTCAGGAGGAAAGGACACCACAATTCTCAGGCAGAGGGGGAACAAGACCCCCTAGGCTCAGTCTTGTCATTCGATTCTCCAAAGTTTTTAAGCCCCTAACTTGGTCAGGTTCTGCAAATGAGTTCCAGATCAATTTGTCTAGACAGTGGATTAAAAAGTGGCTGAAAACCTGGCATGATGGTACACACCTCTAATCTCAGCAGCCTGGGAGGCTGAGGCAGGAGGATCATGAGATCAAAACCAGCCTCAGCAACTTAGCGAGACCCTCTCTCATAATAAAAAATAAAAAGAGCTGGGATATGGCTAAGTAGTTAAGGGTCCCTGGGTTCAATCCCTGGTATAATAATAATAATAATAATAATAATGATGATGATGATGATGATGATGGCTGAGGGCTGGGGTACAGCTCAGTGGTAGAATGCTTGTCTAGCATATTCAAGGACCTGGGTTCCATCCCCAGTACCTCAAGAAGGGAAAAAAAAGTGACTGGGTGTTTAGTCCTAGAAGGGTCCAGAGGGGAAGGCCAGTACAGAACCAGCGAAATAATTTGCAGGGCCCACTGCAAAATGAGAGTTCAGTTGCTAGTTCAAAACTTAAGACTTTCAGGAGGGTGATGGCAGAGCATTACACTCAGCATGGGGCCTGTGTGAGCGAGGGCCCTGCACAACTGTTCAACTCCAAAGGTGGGTTAGACAGGAGTCAACAGGTCTCAGTCAGCAGGGCAGAGTCCCGGCAGAGCTTGGCTAGACAGACACATGAGTGAGCCAAGTTGATGAAACAGAACCAGCCTAACTGCTAGCAAGATGCCAGGAAAGAGGAAGGGTCACAGCAAAATGAGGCAAGACAAGCGCATGTGCAGCAGAGTAGGGGGTGGGGAAGGGCGGCAGGGCTAAAGCCTCTGGAGGCTATGGAAGGTGTGCAGGGAGGGCCTTCAAGGCTGGGCCAGAACCACAACAGGGCTGGCACACAGTTTGCCCCTGTCCCACTCAAAATAGGCAGGAGGCCCATTCCAGAAGGATGGAGAATCCTGACAGAAGCAGTTTTTTCAGGTCATTTGAGAGCAGTCTGAGCAATGGGTCCCACAGAGGGCAGGGGTGAGGGGCCTGTATGTTCCTGGAGAACAGAGGCCCCAGGAAGACAAGGACCAGACACTCATTAATGACCAGAGAATAAATCCATCCTTTCATCTCTTCCACCTCTGTGCTTTTATATTTCCTTTAATGTCTCAGTAAAGTTCTTTTGAAAATTCCAACCCAGCTCTGCTGTGCCAAATGGAAAGGAACAAGGAAAGGACAGGAAAGTCCAGTAAAGAGATTTCCCTAGGAGAGGGGGATGGCAGCTGCTCGTCTAATGGAAATCTGGCTGGAGCTTTCACTAAGCCATCGCACCTGAGTGACAGGCAATGGCTGCTGGCTTATTTCCACATGGGGTATGATGTTATATGAATCTTTGCCTCCTGCCTCTTTAAGGCATGTGTCACCAGGCTGCGTGGACCCCAGGTTGATAGAGCAGGAGCCTTTGCAAAGGCTCCATATATGACTTAGGGAGGAAGTCGAGCTTCTGTGAGCAGCTCTCCTGGCTCCTGGGCACTCCTGAGTACAACCCAACCCCTATCCAGATAATGCAAAAATCTTAATACTGGCATAGATGAGGGCACTGAGGCAAGAACTGCCCTGAACACATAGCCCCTCGATGCTGGAGCCAGACCCCAAGTCCTCACCAAGAGGGAGGGACATAGGGAAAAAGCAGAAGTCTTTGCCTCAGACTCAGTAATTGATAAGGGAAAGCTGCAGTGGGGTGGGGTTGCTCCCTCCTGAATGGACAGCAAAAGGCAGCTTCTCCTTTCAAAGGTGCCAGACAATGGAATTGTGGCCAGACAGCCATTTGCTAAATTTGGATGGAGACTGTCTTCTGTTAACCCTTCAGTGTCCAATCATTTGGGGTGGGATGTTCGCTATTCTTTCTTCCTTCCAGAACACTCCATCTCAGTTCCAGTTATACCAAGCAAGGAGGGTTTTCCTTGGCTATACCTGGTCTCAGAAATCAGTGGACAGGAGTGGTGACAATGGTGGCTAGTCATCACCAAGCTGGAGTGGGGGGTGGCGCCTGAACACTCCACCTGCATGCTCTGCCCTAGGGTCAATTTACATGGGTCACGGGCCAGAACAAAAGCAGGCAGAGGTCAGAGAGAAATCAGGCCCCAGCCACATGTGAGTGAAGTTGCCAAACTAAATGATGAGGAAGCAAGACCACAGCAAAAGCAGGCACCAAGCCAGAAAAAAGAAATCGGGAATTATGCCAGATGGTCAAAGGTTTGTGGGTCATAGAGAAATCAGGCCACAGAGGAGGATGAAATCAGGCCCCAGAACAAACCAACGTCACCTGTGATTCCGAAGGAAGGGAGCTGTGCCTCCCAGGGAAAACAGGCTGCCTTGGCCTCGGCCGCGCCCCCCACCCTCCCTCCGCGGCCGGGCCCAGCCTCACTTGAGCTGCTGGGTGATGAGCTCCTCGTCGTTGAGGTAGCGCAGCCTCTCCTCCTCCACCAGGGTGCGCTGCCGCTGCAGCGGGTCCTCCTGCCGCCGCGCCGCCTCGGACACGCGCATGCTCAGCTCCGCCTCTGTGCGCTTCAGCAGCGCGCGCACCGACTCCTGGTTCTGGAGCTGCGGGATGCAAGGATGGGCGCGTGGACCTGGGTGGGAGGGATAGGAGGCGCGCGGGGCGAGGGAGTGCAGAGGGCAGCCCTATGCGGCTCCAGCTCCACAGAAGATGCGGCTGCTTAGCTGTGGCCACGAGCCGCCACGGACGGTGCGGGTAGGGGCCGAGGGCTAAATCTGGGGGAAAACGGAGGCAGGAGAATGGGCAGTGGACAGTGGAGGGAGCTGTGCTGTACTGGGCGGTGCTATGCTGGGCAGTGCAGAAGGTGCTGTGGCCATGAGCAGCAGCAAAGGGTTGAGGCGGTGAGTGGCGCAGGGGAAGGTTAAGTTCTGGGAAAGTGTAGGGGCAGAAGAACAGGATGAGAAAATGTGGCGCGGGGCGGGGGTCCTACGCTGGGCCCTGCCTAGAGTGCAGCTGCATGGCTGTGGCCTTGAGCAGCCCTGAATGGGGACGGGCCTGGCATGAAGGACTCAAGCGCTGGGGTTGATAGTTTCCGTGACTGGGACGGGAGGACCAAGTTAATGCTAAGTTAACGGTCGAACCCAGTTCCAAGCCTGACTGGAGGGGGGTGGGCGAGACCTTACCCTTGGCCCAGATGGCAACTCTCTGCCCCCTCCCCAGCCTGTCTCTGCGCATTATTCTCGCCTGACGGGTCCTGGGGCCCTCTCGAGTAGCCGGCACAGCGATGCCAGGCTCCTGACTGGTGGGACCATCTGCCAGGAAGGACGGAGCAGACTGTCCGGGCTCAGGAAGGGAGAGCTGAGGGGACGTGGGGAAGAGGTATGCGGGGCCAGAAGGAACTGGAGTTGCCCCCCACCTGCAATGATATCTATGGTGAGGGTTGGCCTGGGGCTCTAGAAGAGCCATGGGAAAGAAGGAGGGCTAGTGGGGGGGGCGGGGCATGGGCCAGGGGTGGAGGTTCAATGAGTAGCAGGAGCTCAAGAAAAGGGGAGAAAGGGTTCAGGTGGTAGGGACCTGTGAGCAGAAAGGGATTCCCCAGAGCTCCATGGGGAAGGGCGGGCACTGGGGGATGGACAGTACTTGTGGAAGGAGTTTGGGCTAGTTGGTGGCGCTTGAGGGGAGCATTACCTGGAGCTTTCGCAACTGCTGAAGTTGGCCACGCAGGTCACTGGTGCTGTTTTGCAGGCCACGCAAGTGCAGCTGCATCTGCAGCCGGCTGATAGCTGTGGGCTGCCCTGCAGGGGTGCTGCTGGCTGAGGGAGGGGGAGGGCCAGACACAGGGGTTGCCCCACTGCTTCTGCTGCCTGACCCGCATGCTACAGGGAGGGACCATGAGGATGGGAGAAAGGGAATAAAAAGTGAGACTGAGAGGCGCTGGTGCAAGATCCTCCCCACTTTTGACCCCACACAGTAGCCAGAGACACATGACTTTGCTTCCTGCTCTAAGTGATAATCAGTTCTAACAATGAGGAACAAAGCACCAGTGCAGTGACATCTTGGGTTAAGGTGAACACTCAAGTATCCATTGAAAGTCCAGTGATGTAGCTATTGTTTGATCCCTAGTTTACAGATTAGGAAACTGACTCAGAGAGGGAAAGACCCTGTGAGAAAAGAAGGGAAGGGTCACTCACGTGCTGATGGGGTGGCTGCTCCATTGGAGCCTTCAATCTTCTCACTGTAGCACAGGGAAAAGAAGATGGTCATCAGAGGTCCAGGCCAGCCCCAGACCATCAAAGCTGAGTGGGACCTTAGATGTCATCTCTTTCAGCTCCCTGATCATGGGATGGAACAGCAGAAAAGGGAAGGGACTTGCCCAGTGAGACATTGGCAAAATCAAGCTCAGGACTTCTAATGCTCATTGCCCCTTCTTCCTGCCCCTGGCAGTGGTGTTGGGAGAGGGACCGTACCTGGGTGTCTCAGGCTCTGAGCCTCGAAGTAGGGCGCTCTGCACCAGGCCTGTGAGGCTGGCAATCTGCTTCTCCATGGCCTCCATTCGCTCCCTGGAGAGGAAGGTGGTTCTGAGCAATCCCTGCTCTAAGCATGACTCCTGCCCAGCCTCTCATTTCTAAGAGTGATCACCAGGAGAAATAACATTCTTTCCCCAGCTGCAGTTCAGGCACACAAAGAGACCAAATGCCTAAAGAACAAGCCCACCCCCTACTGCATTTCTCACCTCCCTAAGCGATCTGTCCTGACCACTCCATGCTTTGCTTATGCCCCTCTATGCTTTTCTCCCCACCTCCTCTCTGAGGCCATCCCAAAGTTCCAGTGGCCTTAAGGAACCTCTTCCCCAGACCACTCAAGGGCAATGCAAGGATGTTTTAGTGTGTCTCCCCACTAGACCAAGCAGGAACTGGGTTTGCCCAACTTGGCATCAGGAAATGGTACAGTGCCTGTCACAAAGGCCACAAGGTTGCTGTGCGAAGACAGGTGGCTTCTCACCAGTCAGCAATGCTGCTTGAGGGCAGAGGTTACCTCTTACCCTGGCTACCTCCTTCAGCCCTGCACCCTTAAGAGGGCACTGAGTGGTGGTTCAGGACTCCCAGGCCTGAAGGCTAGGTTAAAAAAATGTGTTTCTCTCCCCTCCCTATTTCTTACCAGCAACCCACTCCCCAGTGAAATTCAGCTGACCCTATGCTGGACAGCTCTCATGGTTACAAATTCTGTGTTCCAGCTGGAAATTGACTTAAAAAAAAAAAAGGGGGCTAGCTCAGCCCTTGAATTTTACAGTTGTGGAAACTGAGGCTCAAGGAACACATGCAAACTCACATCTCCAGAGTCCATATTTGGGGCCCTCTCACCCACTGCTTCAAGATTTGCACACAAAAGAGATGGCATGCCCATCTCTTCAGTGCCCTCCCTGCCATATCCAAAATGCTCTCTGGCCACCCACTTAAGATCACTGTAGATCTCAAAGGACTCTGGGATCTCTTGAGTTCAGCAAACACACCTGACAGGGCCTCTGCGGGGTGCCTCCTCTTCCCATCCCACCCCACTCCCATAGTCCTGAGGCCTTGCAAGTGTCTCTCACCTGGTCTCCGTGTCCTTGGCTGGTACTGGTGGCCCGAATCCGACGAGCGAGCGCTCCCCAGGCCCAGGGAAGAGCTCGGAAGGAGGGGCTCCGGCTGTCGAGGAGCCCGCGGTGCTGCGGGTCTTGCCTCCGGGACTCTCAGCGAAGACCGAGGAAGAGCCGGAATCTTTTCGGAAAGACTGACGCACCGGCGAGCCCCGGCTAGGTGGCCCTGAGTAGGGGCTGTGAGGCGGCGGGGGCCCTCCGGGGGGCGCTGCCACGTCGGCCAGTTTCTGTGGCGAGGAGGGCGGCAAGCGGAAACCATAGCTGTCGCCGTAGATCGGGCCGCCGCCGCCTGCCGCCTTGTACAGCGAATCCTCCAGGTCCGACTGCAGCGCAGCGGCCGAATAGGTGCTCAACGAGCGCACCGAGCCGCGTTTGTACAAGCCGCCTGCGCCGGGGTAGGCGAACGGGTCGCCGGCGGCCGCGGCCAGGCTCAGGCGGCCCTCGTGCAGCAGCCCATAGGGATCGGCGTAGAGACCCTCGCCCTTCACCAGCACCATGCCACCCGCTTTCCCCGCCAGGTCCTCGTCCGGTTTGACATCGCGACGCTCCAGGATGGCGCTTGGACTGGGGCTAACGCCCTGGGTGGCAGGGGCACCTCCCAGTCTCTCTGCCGCGTGGTGCACGGGGCTGCCAGCGTAGGAGGGCGGGCGCCCCCCAGCGTAGGAGAGACGCGAGCGCGATGGCGAACCCGACGGCAGCCCCGACGGCAGCCCAGATGGTAGCCCGGGAGGCGGCGAACCAGATGCCAGGTGCGGTGCCGGCGACAGGTTATTGAGTCGCCGAGTGGGCGATGACTCCCGCGAAGCATACACCATCTCTCTCTGCGCAGAAGACAGCTCCGTAACCCCACAGGGCTAGTCACAAAGGGAACCCTTTTGCCCTTGCTTGAGAAGCCAGCAACAAGTCCCCTGACGCCCAGCAAGTCCCTGTTCTCTACCTTTCCTCTCTCCTGCAGTGTATTTTGGGCACCTTACCCATCAGGGCTCCCAGCACAGGTGTGTGAGGGTGTGTGGCAAGGTTGTAGATGGAGAAGCAACAGAGGGGCACCCCTCAGCCCGACCCATTGTGGGGGTGGGGAAGTCAAGGAGAATAAGTGGCTCAGGAGAGAGGCCTTAGAATACCTAGAGGTCTGTGAGAGAAGTCCTGAGCGCACAGGACTGGAGCAAGGGTGAAGTGGTGGTGAGAGGAGAAGGCTCCTTCATTAATTCCATAATTAAGGGGCCAGCCCCCTTAATTCTCCTAGTCTTCCCTGGTTCCCTTGACATTTGCCCACATTTCACCTGCCTGGGCCACTTTCTGTCAGCCTCCCCAATTCCGTGAGCATCCCCATTCATATCCTAAGGTTCCCCCCCCCCCGTGTATCCCCATTCATACCCGAAGGTCCCCGTTTGTGAGGTGTGAGCCAGGGAAAGCAGCATACAGTGGTTCCTTCCTATAGATCTTGATAATACTGCGGTCCTGGATATCCCTGGGGGAAGGGTGCAGAGGGTCACCATGCATTTCCCAGGCATGCAGTAAGGAGAGGCAGCTACTGCCCACAGAAAAAAGAGGTGGCAAGGGGAACAGGACCCCAACCCCTTCCTAAGTCCTTTGCTCAGTGGATCTTGGTGTCTTGGGCTGTGTGCCACCAACACACACACCACAGCCTCCACCTGGACCACTTCCTCAGCCTGTGAAGCCATTTCCAGGTTAAGTCAGGTCGGTGTCTCTCAACCGGCAGGGCTGGGAGATTTAGAAGGGAGGGGGAGATTTAGAAGGGAGGGGGTGAGGGGACCAGAGGATCAGGCCCTGGAGGAGAGGGGAAGGGCAGAGAGAAGGTCTAGAAGGAGCTGGGGAAGGGCCTTGGGGGTAATCTCCTGGGGAGGAGTATAGGGAAGCCCACCCATCCCCCTGGGGCCACGCCCACCGAACGTCCTCCAGTTCGTAGAAGACGTTGCGCGCCTCGTCTTTGATGAGGATGGCGGTGTTTGGCGACTTGAGCATGCCCATGGTGAGCTTCTGCGGGAACATGTGCGCGATGAGTGCATGCAGCGTATCCAGACTGCTGACCTCGTGCGTGATGTGCACGCGCCGTGTCTCCTCCCCAAACTGCAGGAACAGCACCCCTGCGAAGGAGATGCCACCTTCATTGTTATTGCCCCCGCTGCCAGACCAACCGCCCGGAGAACAAGGGGAGCCTTCGGGAGCTGAGCCGGTCCCACAGAGGCAGGGTCTGAGGCTGGATGCGGCCCCCGAGTGCAGGTGCACCCAGGCACTCCTCATGCTGCCAGGGCTGGCCTCCCGGAGCACCAGTATCCCAGGCAGCTGGACCGGGAAACGGGGGTTGCGGGCAGGAGAAGGTAGGGCAAAAACTGGGAAAGAGGGAAGAAAGCGAAAAGAGGGCCGAAAGAAAAAAAAAAAAGGAAGAGAGGTAAAAAGGGAGGGATGAAGGAAAGAGGGACTGCTCTATAAGAGAAAGGGCTAAGAAGCCCAGTAGGAAAAGAGAGGGTTAAGGTAGAGAGGAGGGAGGGCGGGAGAGGAGAGAAGGGAAGGAAGGGGCAGGAGATGATGAGGCAGAAGGAGGGGTGGAGAAAGAGAGCAGAGCGGCCCTGACAGGGGTGGTCGCTGAGAAAGAAGAATTTGAGCTTAGGAGGGATGTAGTGGTGTAGGGGATGAGAAGGGCTGGAGGAGAGGAGCAGAGGGAGGAGCCTGCCTGGTCCGTACCTGGAGATCGCAGTTTGGTCTGACTGGCTGAGCGAGAGAGGGGCAGGCTCTGTCGGAAGCGGTTCATCCTGCTAAAGCCCAGGGGCAGCTCAGCCTCCGACATGGTCTCCAGCGACTCAGCTGAGGCGTAGGACAGCTTGGCTGCCTGGTCTGCCAGCCCCGGCTGGGCTCCCTGAGTGTGACGCGAGCTGCGGGTCTGCAGGGACAGGGCAGGGCAAGAAGAATCAAGCATGATCCCCCATTGCTTTGCCACTGCCTCAGTCCAGGCCCAGGGAGCTCCCACCAGCCAGCCAGCAACACGTACACAATCACAGGAGGGTCTCCTGGATTCCAGACCCATTGTATGGCTGCAGGAAGGTCCCCCCACCTCTTGGGGCCTTGACCTCCCTGGGCCACCCAACAGGTAAGCAGTAGGCAAAGGACTCAGGCAACTTGGGAAGCCAGACAAGAAGCCATCTGAGCTGAAGCCACGGGCACGCCTGCTATTTTAAGCTTCCAAAGAACAACAACAACACAAATTTGTCACCGAGGTGAGCAGCAGAATCGTTGAGCAAATTGGGGCATTAGTTCCAGACATTAATTAAGCGGCGGGTTTGTGAGCGGCGAATTTATTCTTCCTGGAGTTCAGAGAGTTGGGGGTGGTGGTGACGGGAAGTAGGGCCCAGGGAGAAAGTAACAGCAAGGGACCCAGTGTTGGGAGGTATAGGCTCTCACAGAGCTGGGCATGGAGAATGTCCTTGATTTAAGGTGACAAGAAAACTATTCCAAACCCCTCAGTGCCAGCTAGAACCCAGATTCAAACAAACTACATGCTTAGTACCCACTACACATGTGAAGTCCAGTGTGGTACACGTGACCACAGGGTGTGTGTGCCAAGCCTCGGCCCCTCTCTGTGAGGTACAAGCTGCCATGTGGCCAGACAGCCTGGCTGGCCTTGTCCCAGTCCCCAGAATGACAGTCCCTTCCCTGAAGCTATAGTTCTGGATAATGGCTGGGGGTAGAGAAGGACGTCACAGACAGCTGGATTGCTCTCTCCTTGGGGCTGGGGGTGTCACACTATGATTTCAATTGTACTTGAAGAGCTTACTATTAGCTGAAGCCTGGGGTTGTCATCCAGGGCCACCACCCCTGCCATTCTGCCCCAATTCTTCCCCTCAAACCAGGTTGCTGTACAAAAGCTCATTTACTTAAGGAAGTAAGAAAATGAATCAGATCTAGATCATTCCATATTATTTACATTATTACATATATATTATGTATGCATTTGTTGTATAAAAGTCATGTTCTCTGATTGTATTTTTCTATAAAATAAATTGATATTTTTAACAACAGATCACTCAAAATCAGTAATACAGGCTATCTCAGTGTTGAAAGAGAACTATTATTTTTAGTTTCATACATACTTCTTTAAAATTAAGTGAATTTTGTACAATCAGAATATCTTACTTTTATATTTTAAAGAGACAACAATAATAGTATCTCTGAAAAGAAATAATTTATTCCCCACATCAGCTCCCTCTTTCCCAAAATTCTGATTAACCCTTAATTAATTTCCATCTTTCTATTAACTCAATTTAATGTTCTAATCAGATTAGCACTCTTGATGAGAGAGCATCTTCCTCTGATGGGCAACGTGCCCAGCTGTCCCCAAGGTGGCCTTAAGGGCTAAGGGACTTGGGAGGTCAGATTTGGGAACTTTGAGGAGCAAGAACAATCTCTCGAGCAGTGTGCAGACATAGGTCTTGAAAGTGGGGAAGCAGCACAAGGACTGGGCCCACTTGGGGGGATCCTGTGTGCAGGCTTTAAACCCTGTGGCTCAGCTCTGGGTTGACAGTGACAACCAGCACCTTGTTCTCACCTTCAGCTCCTGGGAAGGATGGGAGCTCTGGAGTAGGGTGAGGAGTAGGGCTGGGCTGGCAGTCTTGGGGTTGCCAGGCTTGTGAGGGTGAAGGGGTCACCAATGCAGACAGAATGAGGCAACTGGTAAACATAAAAGTGGGGGGTCCACAGGGCTATGGTGGGGGACACAAGTGAGATGCCAGAAAGAGAATGGAACGGGGCAGCATGGAGGAGGCAGCATTCCTGGGGGTGGCTGAATGCAGAAACAGGAACCCTGGGAGAAAAAAATTGCCACATTCCTTGTTTCACATGTTCCTGTCTCTGTTGTGACCCCAGGAATGCCTTTCCATTCTCACAGACTTTATAGATAACCCTACCCCAAAGAGGGAAAGCCCATCACACTTTTCTTCATCCCTGAGCTGAGACAACAGGGCAGAGGAAAGTGAGACATCTAGAAGGACTTTCCAACCACTAAGGAGATGGCAAGAGGACAAAATAGTGACTGCAGCAGAGCTCTCCAAAGACGGGAAAGGGGTTGCTGTGGAAGGCAGTGAGCACTGTCCCTGGAGCACCTTCAGGGAAGATCATGACTTCTGGTCAGAGGCCAGGCAGAGGGCATCAGGGGTCGGGTGGTCAAAGCAGGATCAGAGCTTCCCCAAGGCTGCCTACAGCCTGGGGCAGAAGCACTGGGAAACATTTACAAACCTCTTTCTTGAACCCCACATCAGATTTTGGAATCAACCAGGATTCTGACAGCCTTTGAGGTTGGCCACCATATAAATCTTGCTGTGAGCCAGACACTGCCTAGACTGGCATTTTCTTATTATATCTTTATAATAAGAAAATTTAATGATGCAGACATCCTTCCGCTTTACAAAGGAGAAACTAAGGCCCAGAAGACTGGAATGTACATTGCTCTGGGTCACTAAGCTAGTTAGTGGCAGACTGGAATTCACTACCAAGTAATCTGGCTCTCAGGCTCATGCATCTAACCACTACACTCTCGTGCCTCCTTCAAAGAGGCTATGCTTAACACCAGGATACCAAGATCCCCGGACTCTCTGATTCAAGGACTCCTGGAAGTGCTCTGGGAGAATGCATGCAAACAAGACCCCTGGGATTCGGGATGGTGGCCTCCCATCCCATCATGATGCCTGAGAGAGGGCCTGAGACTCCAGCAAGCAGGCAGTTGCCTAACTGGTTCCGCTCAGCTCTGGGCCTGGGCACCAGGGAAGATGGATGAGGGTGCTCCCATAGGGGTCAGCAGGATGTCCTGGGGAGGGTAGACAGCTCCCTAGCTTTAGGTAACTCCAAGCTCTCCAAAGGAGGCCAAAGACACCACCCCTGAGCCTGGCCCTCCACTTAGAAAACAGGTTTTAGGGGTACAGGACAGTGTCTTGCTTGACAGTCACTAGCTCATTCACAGGGGGGAGTAAGAAAGGGAGTCACACGACCTCCCCAGGAGGTGCAATCTGATCATGGGTTCAGGGCTCTGACTCAGAGCCAGCAGATTCTCTGGACTGAGGAGACCTTCTCATTCCAAAATGCCCCTTGTGGACTGGGGAAGTCTAGGGACAGAGCACCTCCAGCCCAGATCTCCAGCAGAGGTGGCCCAAACTCCCAATCAATCCACAAGCCCCTGGCAGGTGAACCCAGACTTTCCCAAAGCAGCAGCCACAGCCTGCAGCCCCAAAGCCCACGCACCCACACCAGAGGGGGCCCTGCAGACTCACACCCCGGTGCAAAGCATGTGCGAGGGAGGGACGGGGCAGGGGAGAGACAGCACATGCAGTTGTCATGGGAGCGGAAGCATCACACACTGACCTTGAAACTCCAGTAGTTTGGCTGCTGATGGAAATAAGAGAAGAGATGGTTATGAGGGGGCAGGGAGGAAAAGGGCAGCAGGGGGCAGGTAGAGACCCTTGGAGCTCAACACTCAGCCCTGGGACATGGGCCCTCCACCCCCTCAGGAGCAGGAAGGAAGTAATGCCCATTACATCCCATTCTCTTCTGAGACCTGAACACCTTGGTGCACCCAGGATGGGAAGGCTTCAGGTTTGCTGGTGGAGGCAGGAGAGAGCATTCCAGATATTTACTAGGCACAACTCTAAAGTAACAGCCCTCAGAAAGATACATGTAGGAAAAGGCACAGATGATCATGATATAGGGACCCAGGAGAGAATTTAAAAAGATAAATCTGGGCCATAGGGTCAGAGAGATGGCACCGGGATGGGTTGTAGCAGGCCAGGGAAATTTTCCCAGAAAAGATGGCATTTGAGCTGGGTCTTGAAAAATGAGCAGCTGGAGATTGGAAGGAAAGGTGTGTTGGGTGGAGAAGAGCATGGGCGTGCGCCAGGAGCAGGCAAGGAAGAGTGTGGGAGAAGAGTCCACAGTCCAGGCTGCTGGGGCTGCAGATTGGGCTGCAAAGGGGACTGAGTCCAGACACCAAGTGACCTTCAATGCTGAATATGTAGACTCAAGTCTCAGGGGTGGGAGGGGGCAAGCAAAAGGCACATTAATGGAGCAGAGCAGGATCAGAATTGGACCCCAGCAGAGCACAGAGCTGAGGGTGGAAGAGGGCAGCTGGGTCCCAGGACAGGGCAGGGAGGCCTGTGTGACAGGATGGGCCTTGACCATGGAGGACAGTGGACAGATGCCAGTGACTCCCAGCACTGGGCAATGAATAGGGAGCTGTGGGCAGCGAAGGAGCTGGGGAGGCTGGGGACTGGGCAATACCCTGGGGCTGGGTAGATAGAGGGTTCCTCACATCCCTAGAATGGGGGGATTAAGGCTCCCCTCATTCATAGCAACTCGGGTCACCCTGCCTTCCCTAGAGACCAGAAGGCCCTTCCAGATGGCCGGGAATAAGGAAAGAGCCACCCTGAGGCCGGGCTGGTTCTTGGCAAAGCTGAGGGCACCCTGCTGACCGGTGCCAGCCTCAGCAGGAAGACAGAGGCAGCAGATGGCCTGGCCCTGGGGTGCCTGGCACAAACAGGCAAGAGTCCCCGGCCTCAGAGCCATGGCAGAGAAAAGGGGCATTGGGGGTTCCTGGTGGGGAAGGACACCAGGCTTGAGTATCCTGTACCACCCAAAGGCCGTCATGGCTGGGAGGAGTTGGAAAGGGGCTGAGTGGAAGGGTGCCCTGCCTGACGGGCTTTACTGAGGCAGCTCTTTACGGTGGGGACGAGGCCTAGCAGGGACTGGGATGGAGAGGTTCATTTGCCAGGACTGCCCCTACCAGATCCCTGATGGCCATCTCTCCCTGTAACACTGGCTCCAAAAGATGAAAAACTAGTCACATACCAGGCAGAAGAAGGCAAAGTCTGTACCCCAGCCAAAGCCTGGGATAATCTATGGACACACCGCCCCCCCTGCTCCGTCCCCCCACTGGTGCTAGGGGATGCTCACAAGCAGAGAGGGGACAGGCCGAGTAACAGGCTCTACCCAGCTGCTGTGGCCTTGGAAGAGGAGGGGAGGAAGAGGGAGTGGAACCGTAGGGGGCAGGCAGAGGCAGGCAGAGGGCACTGGAAGGTTTATGAGAGCCAGGTCTGCAGACTGGCTGTGATGGACGGCTCTGCAGAGAAGGCCTGCGTCCCTCACTCCCCAACCCAGGCACAGACAGTGTGTACAGGGGCCACCCACAGCTCCCCACAACACACACGCTCCCACACAGCCTCACACAGACTCTTACATCCTTAGATAAGGACATCACTAACACACCCAGAGCAACAAAATACACCCACCAAGGCACACAAGCACTTAGAAGCTATCAGAAATAGCCCCAGAAATAAACAGAAACTCAGACCCGTACATATGGGGGCCATCCCCACTCACACACACACACATGCCCAGGACCCCAACCTGCTCACATGCAGGATCTCACAGGCACAGAAGACAGAAGCACTGACACCATTCACACCACCCTCAGTATACGCAGAGTCCCCATCACACATGACACGTGGACACCCATTCTCACACACACACACACTCACACTCTCTCTCTCTCACTACAGAAACACAAAGCACTGAACACACAGTACACACACATGGCCTTAGAGAAAGAGTCATTACTCTCTTTTGCTTTACTTGCTGGATCCAGTTGCCTCTGACAACCTTAGCCACTCTCCCATGCCTATGATGTCCCAAACATCGCATGTCAAGGCAGTGATCTCTTGAATTAAGAGAGGCAAAAGGAGCCCCAACCCACACCCCGCCACCAGTGTCTGAGTATTGGACTCAGGGGACCTTATGAAGATGCCTGGGACCCACTTTGTATCCCTGAGAGGGAGATGGGGCAGGGCCTGGCTACAGCCACACTGGCTATGCCCTCAATGTGGGCCTGCCCCAGGGTCCCAAGACTGGCACATCCATGGGGCAGTCTTCTGGAAGGAATGGATCATAAGCATGGCCCAAAGGAGAGGATAGGGTGGTGGCATCAGTGCCACAGGAAAGGTCAGCCAGTCCCCAGGAAAGGGTACACAAGGAAGAGGAGCCACATTTGTGCCTGGGGAACAACTTGGGTATCTGAGTGATACTATGATCAGAATCCTGGGGCTTCTGGATCTGAGCTGTTAGAGCCTCTTTGAAGTGAATCCTGCTTCTTCGCCCTCTGAAAAGTAAGGAAGAATGATCCTGTTCCATATTGAGCTGCCAGGACTGAGGCCTCTGGTTTCCTGGCAATTCACTGTGTTCCGAGGGGGAAACTGCAGTGGGAAGAGGCCTGAGGAGACAGCCCATCCTCTGTCTCCTCCAGGGTTTGACCCAGGGGCAGCCTGGGGTGAGCAGAGGCTCCTTCCCTTTTCTCCAAGGGGCACACTCCCAGTCAGTCACTCTCCACCCAACTCCAGCCCCCTTTCCCCTGTTGTCTATTCCCTCCTGCTGTGCCAACAAGTGCCCAGCTTATAGCAGGCCCTCAACAAATAGGTGACAGAGAATAAAAGCCAACAAAATAGGACCAGCCCACGAGGAGGAGTGGCTTTGAATACTTTGGTCAGGCCCCACTCCCTCCATCTCCTGGCACCCAGCTGCTCAGCCTTCTGGGCCTATTCCCTGGGAATTTCCCAGGACCAGAAAGCCCCCTGGGAGAGAGGGCAGAGGACAGGAAAGGCCCAGAGGTCCAGCTCCCCACCGCTAGCACAAACCTTAATACTAAGGCAGAATGACCTCCCTCCACACTCTCCAGGAGGGGTCTGGACTTCCCAGAAGGCAGTGAGAAGGCAAATGAAGAAAGGGCTGTGAAGGAGAGACCTGGCCAGGGGCAACCACTGGCAGGAAGGATCTTGCAGGAGTTGGGGCAAAATAAGAGGGGTTCTAAGAGGTTAAGATGGAAACCCAGCATCCCTTGGGACAAGGCTTTCAGAAATAGGGAAAGGGGCTCTCCAGAGACCTAGGGGAGCAAACCAACTCTTTGGTGAGCAGAGAAAACAGCTTTTGCCCGCCTGGAGCTGAGGGTTAAAGCCTCTCCCTCTCCCACTCCCACTCCTTAGCGGCTGGTGGAGGGGAACTGGCCATTCCCTCTCCCCAACCCAGGCCCTGTGGCAGGGGCGGGTCAAGCCTCTTGGGAGGCTTAGCTCAGCCAGCTGAAATCCCCACCATCCCCTGGGCCCAAGTCCCCTGTAGGTTAGGTGAGTGCATGAACCTCCTTGACCTCAAGCCGCTACGACGCAGCCTCCCACAGGAAGGCCAGTCAACGGTCGCACCCCCAGCCCCTAAACCCCCTGACTCGGCGTGCACGGCGCACACACCCACCTCTCAACTCCCTTGAACCCAAGTCCACGTAAACACCCGCCCCCAGCCTGGGGCTACGCAACGCGCCCCAGCGGGCGCCAGCTCCCCCAGCCACGCGCAGGCACCCTGCCCCCAGGTGTGCGGATCGCCGCCCACACCTACCCCGGCCCGTCGGGGAGTGCGTGCGTGGAGGGGGGTGCTGCGGGATCCGCCGCGCCGCCGGGGGCGAGGGCGCACCCCGCGAAGGTCATGACTTTCCAAGGTTGGGGGAGGGGGTGCCTGCCGCATTTAGGGGTGGGGGCCGTCCCGCGCGGAGGGCACCTAACGCGGTGGGGGAAGGGAGGGGGCGTTTCTCAGAGACTGGGAACCCGCAAAGGCTGCGCGCTCCCCAGCCCGGGATCATCCCTGAGTGCCGCAGAGCGAGACCCCCATCTCCGTGTCCCCGCCCCCTGACGAACCCAAGGCTGCGACCCCGGCCCCACAGCCGCTCCCCCTTACCTGTGGCTACAGGTGTATGCGCGGGGCCCCAGCCCCGGATCCCGCGTAGGGCGGGGGAAGGAGGGCCGCCCCCTACTCCCACCCGCCTGGGCTCTCCCCTCCCCCGGCCGCCTCCGCAGCTGCCGCCGCCGCCGGTGCCCTTTGCTGCAATGCGAGAGCCGCCGCCGCCGCCGAGCCGGCCCGGGCCCTGGTCGCCCCGGTAACCGCGACTCCACCTGGCGCGGCGCGGCGCGCCGCCGTGCACATCCCCTCTCTCGGCCCCCTCCCCTGGCGCGGCCCCGCCGGCGCAGCCCCGCCGCGGAGCGGCGGAGGCTGGTGGCTGCGTCGCCGCGGTCACCCGATACGCCGGTCCGCCGCCCGGGACTCGGGGAGCAGCAAGAGGAAGGGAGGTTAGACAGCCTAGTGGAAGCGGGGGGAGGGGCTGTGGCTTGGTCTAACCTCTAGTTGCTTCCCGCGGTCCTTTTCACGGTGTCCACCCCTAAAGGTCTGACCTACCGCCGCCTTCCAGCCCACAGCCTCCCCTCACCAGGGTCTCAGCTGTGCACTTTGCCCTTTTAATTCTCCCATGATTTAATCCCTAGCCAGTCTGGAAGGCCTGTGACGCCTAAATTTCCTTGTTGGCCTCTGATGGATCTTGCCCTGCTGTGTGACTCTGGTCCTCTGCTGAATGTCTCTGTTCCTGCACTTTAGGAAAAAAAAAAAAAACCCTCAGACTCAGTTCTGGGGGATAAGGGGTGTGATGAATTCTAAATATCAAGTGATTACAAGATCTTGTGCACAGCCACTTTCTCAGGTAATTACAAAGCCCTGGGGGCAAAGGTCCCCTCAAGCTCTCCTTTCTCCACAAGAGCAGATTCCAGATGTGGACAGACTAGAACTCCACCACCTGAGACAACTGAGCTTACCAAGTCCAGCCTCCCTCCTGTCCTTCATCCTAACCTTATCACAGCCCAAGATGCTCCACCAGGGGACCTCTTGGGGAGGGGGAAAGACACCCAGAACCTGCCTGTGCATGTCGCACCTGTCCTCTGCCCCATCATCATCTCTTCTAAGCCCCACTTTGGCCTCCACCACACACTTGGTCACTCAGGACAAGTCTCTCACTTGCTGTCTAGCGTTGGGAGCAGACACATCTCTGTTCCCCAAAGTTCAGCCAAGATGGGACGGAGAACCTGAAAGGAAGTGGGCAGAGTGCCCTGAGTGACGCCAAGCACCAATCTGTTGCTAGATGGAGTTAGCTCAGCTCAGACGGCCATGCTCTGGAGGCTTGTGTCCTATGTGGTCACAAATTTCTTTCATATAACTTTCAAGCCCCGTTGCTCTTCTCCATGAGGCATGGCTGTGTGAGGAACTGGTGCACCTTCCCTCCACTGGATCTGCGTCCACTATCCCTCCTTAGCTTCCTAAGCTGAATATCCTCAAGCCCAGCCCCTCCTGGGCAGTCCCCTCCCTATTGCAACTGACACCCTGGTCCCTCATCCCCCCTTGGGCCTCAGATATCTCCCATGTCAGTGTCCAGGCTTGAGCTGGAGCCCAGCCCTAGTGTCCTAAGTGTGTCCCATCAGGGAAACTGAGACTTGATGAGAAACCTGGGAACAAGGACAGAACCAATGGCAAGATGCCCAAGTGTTCTTAAAAACTTGAGATTAGGCCTTGAGCATAGAAAGAAGGGAGGGAGAGAGACATCCTGTAGCACTTCCTGATGGTAGATCATCAGAGGAAGGTTGGTGGTGCTCAGAAATGGAAGAGTGGGGTGTGGATAAGGGAATAAGATGATCTCCTGAGGGGGGTGGAGAATAAGAGCCCTCTGGAAACGCAAGGAGCAAGATGGGATATGGGATTCTCCTGTTTAAAGGAGAAAGAATGTAGAAGTGTGTGTGTGTGTGTGTGTGTGTGTGTGTGTGTGTGTGTGTTAGTCCTGAGCATGGTCCCTCAAAAAGCTCCTTCCTCCAAACCAGCTAGTTTGGGGAGGTCATTGTAGGAAATTAGATAACCAGGGGAGTTGCAGGTACAGGCCATAGATGTCTCCCCCAAATGGGGGGTCCTACATAAAAGAGAAAGGATTGCAAAATTAAAATTCTGGATATCCCCCCTCCAAAAGAAAAAATTCCTCCCCAAAGCCAAGCTCTGCCATGGGTTTGGGTGGTGATGGAGGTGGGTGACTCACCTGGGCAGGCTGGCCAGCCCCGGAGGGGGCGGAGTCGCCATGGAGGTGGGAGCAGAGGGAGCTGAGGAGGCACACAGGGTCCACGGTCCAGCCGCCAACCTGTGTGTGTGAAGCGGGGGACACCCCATTAGGGGGAGCGGGCAGGAGCCGCTGGGGCTGTGACAGGGCAGGGAAGGGCATGGCTGGGGCAAGTCTTGGGGCACAGAGGTCACACCACAGAGGGATGGAGGGTCTCTTACATCGGCTGCATCTCTAACTAGTACCCGGGGCCATTTCTGGATGTTTGTCTCAGGGTTCCCTGAGCCCAGAGCAGGGGCTTCCCTACCGGATATTGCTGAACTAAATCCCTGTGTCCTTCCTGACTTCCTCCCAGTGCCTGCCTGCCAAATATTCCACAGGGAGTTGCTCCTGGCCTCTCCCTCCTCCTGAGGATGCCACTTGTCTCTGCCCCAACAGCACATCTCCTTTCCCTATTAACTCAGTGGAAGTGACTTCCTCTCCTACCCCAAGGCCACCAGACCTGATTCCTTGGGGACCCATCCTCACAACCCTCTGGGCCTCAGCATCTTCAGCTTCAGACCTCCCTTCCCCTGAGGGCCACTGAGCCAGCGTCATGCTTAGGCCCCCAGCACCCTATGACAAGCGAATTGGCCATTTAGACTCTGAGGGAGGGAATGGACGCTCAGAGAGTGGTTGTGCTTGGATTCACTCCCTGTGAACATGCCAGCTGCCTATGAGGCCCCTAAACATGGCCACATCCTGTCTCCCAGGCCTGCCACCCCTGGAAGCTACCACCAGGATAGCTTCATCTTTTTCCAGCTAAACCTTCCCAGAAGGTCTGTGGTCAGGGCTCTGGTTCCTCACCTTCTCCGATCTCCTTAACCCCTGAAATTGGCCATTACGTCACTATGCCAAGAGCAGTGAGCCCTTAGCCCCCTCCGGGCCCATAACTCCTGGCTGCTCCCCACTCACTCATCTGGACTTCTGAAGTTCAGGTCCCCTTCCAGCACCTGCTCCCTAGGGCCTTCCTTTTCTTCCTCATGGATGCAGAAGTTTCCTGGTACCCTTCCCTGACTATCACAAGCTCTCTTCTCTCTGCCTTGATGGCCCTCTTATGTCCCAGGACCTACTTCACAAGTCTCTCCTGAAGGTGTGGTTGCTCTGAAGTTGGAGGCATCCCCCCTGAAGGCCCCACCCACTCCTCAACTCCTCTTATATTCCTCCCCCCGAGACATTTCCTCCCCACCCTCCAGATCTCTCCAAGGCACCAACATCTCTCTGTCACCGCATTTTTTCCCATCATTGCCTCCTAGATCCAAGCAGCAAACAACTTATGCTTAGTCTCCCCTCCCATCGCCACCCCTTCTTTTCATGCTTCCAGGTATACTCTTCCTCTTCTCCTTCCCTTGCCTCTAGCCCCCTAGGGGCCCTCCTAGTCACCATTCCAAAACAAGCATGACACCACGCTCTCTGGTCCCAATTCCCAGCCTTCCATTGTATGTATATCCCGCAGCTCCCCAACCCCCTGAGCCTCTGGCACCAGCCAAGGGGAAATCTGCGCCATTCCCCAAACCAACTCTGGTATATGCTCATGCCTCTGCCCCCCACCCCCACACCTCCAAGGACAGCATTCTCTTCCTCTCCTCAAACCCTTTCATCCTTCCAAGCAGCTTTTCCTCCTGGAAGCCTTCTCTGATCAGGTCTGCCCACCTGATGTCCCCTCCTCTGAACCCTCTCCAAACGGACTGTGTCCCTCATACAAAGTTTAACCATCCTTCCTCCCCTTTCCCCCATTTGTCATCAAATGCCCCTGTTCCCACCAAGCTAGAGCACACAGGGCAACCACGGAGGGCCAGATGCTCATCTGTAGCTCTTCTTATCCCAACCTGACCCTGCTCCCAGGAGGACTCTGGAGCTGGGCAAAGGCAAAAGCCAGACAGAACTAGAGGTGACCTCAGGGGGGCAAACAGGGTACCAGAAATGTGCCAATGTGTCCTTGTTCCCTGCAGTGGGGGTAGGGACAGAGACGCTTCTCCCCAGCCACACCCAGTACTACCTGGATAAGGGAGACATAGCAAGACAGAGCAACACTCCCCAAGTATTGACTGAAAGGATTCTAATTTGATGTCCCAGAGAGGACAATACCTGAGGCTCAGCAGCTAATGTGCAGCAATCATTAAGGCACCCCACAACTTCAGAACTGAAAGCAGAATACTAGTCCCAAGAAAGATCTTTCTTACAGATCAGAAGCTCATGCTTGGTGGAGGGGTGCAGTCGGGAACCCAAGGATTGGGGGAAGGTTGAAAAGGGAAGCGTGGGGCCTGGGGCTTGGTGATGGAGCCCTGGCCTATCATGCATGCACCCCTCCCCAAATGGAAGGAAAACGTCCAGTCCAGAGGCAGAGGCAAAGGCCCCAACTCCCTCTGTAAGCAGGAAACAAAGCAACACAGAGAGAGACCTCCAGCTCAGAGTCACTCAGTGAGTCTTGGGATGAATCAGGGAGGAAGAGGTAAAAGACCCCAGTTGGGTCTCTGTTCTTGAAGGGAGTGTGGACACATCAGATCCACCCAGCTGAAAATTCACAGACCCCACCTCTTAGGGCCCACTGGGGGTGCCAAAGCCAAACATTCCAACTCCACCACTGGGCAGACCCTTGGGCTCAGAAGCCTCAGTCCCCACGGCTGTCCCTTCCCTTCCTCCCAGCCACTGCTGGGCCTCCAAGGCACACCTTCCTGCCCTTCTGCCCAAACAGCCTGAGGTGAAAAGGCTGGGTTCTCTCTACTCCATCGGTGCTCCAAATGCCACGACAGTCGAGCCCCCAATCCGCTTCCCCAGGCTCCAGAAAAGGCCAGCCAGGGCCACTGCCCTGGGAAGACAGTTCCCCAGCTCTGCCCTCCCGCCTCCCACCTGCCCCAGACGCCTCTCATTTGGATTGAGCCTGGGGCACGGGAGCATCAGCACCGGTCCTCCCCCACCCCGCCCGCCGCCGCCCCAGCCCGCAGCAGGGCTCCCACTCACCTGCTCGCGCATCCTGTCCTGCTGGCCTCGGAGGGCCAGGGCGTGCTGGGGGTACTTGCTCTTCAGGTGGTCCATGAAGGCATCACGCTTGCGATCGGCGTCCGCCTTCTGGAGCCCGCTGAGAGCCTCCAGGCTCTGGGCGGCGATCACCGTGTGCCGCCGCTCCGACGTGTGCACCAGCCCCACGTTGGAGAAGCGCCGGCCCCCGCCGCCCCCGCCGCCCCCTCCCCCCAGGGTCCGGTACTCCCGCGGGTACTCGGCATCGTCCGCAGACAGCATGGGGGGGCTGCTCCGCTCCGGATCTGCGAGAGGGGAGAGGGGCGCAGCGGGGTCACGGCGTGCCTGGCCTGGGGCTGCCACCCCCACCGGGGGTCCCTGCGGGGCGGGTCGCAGCCGGCCTAAGCTTAGGGGCAGAAGGGCTTCTGGGATGCATTCAGAGTTGCCGGTCCCCCCGAGGGGTACTAAGGGAGGGTAGACCGGGTGGAAAGTTCACTTAGCGACCCACGGGGAGGTGTGGGTGGAGAGCAAGGCCAGGAAGCAACTTCGTGTTCCTCCTCCTGAGGCTGGGGCAATAATGACGGTGGGAGGTGCTGTCGTTGAGACCAAGGCATGAGGAGTGGGGGCAAAAGGTGGGACACCTTTCTGGTCACACACCCCTTCCCCTTTCTAAAACTGGTGTACACAGGAGCAGGAAAAGGAGGAGGTGGCTTTTCTAGGCTCCTGAAAGATGTAAAACGGAGCCTGCGGGGTGCACCTTTCTAGAGCGTCCTCTAAGGAGAGGCTGGAGGCTCTAGCCTTCTCCTTCAGACCTGCATATCCAGGACAGAGTATCCTCAAGGTTGGGGGCTGCCAGGAAAAATGGCCAGGACTGGGATACATTGGGGAGTGGGGGCTTCCCAAGGGACTGGAGGCCCGAGGTCTGGGACAGAGGGACCCCCATTTCCCACCCTTCCCAGAGACAAACAGATAGACAGACAGGAGAGGCTGGCACAGAGAGAACAGCGAGAGATGGATTTGGGACAAACTTAAAGAAAAAAGAAAGCAGACAGAACAGCTCAAGCCCCTACCCCACCACTTTTTCAGTCTCTCCTCCCAACAGACACACAATCTCAAGACCCATAAGAGACGCACAGGGGACAAAGGACAGTACAGAAGCAAGAAAAAAAGAGAAGGCCGGGGGTTGAGGTCCCCACGTAGAACTCTGAATCCCTTCCCAGATGCCCACCAGCCCTGAGCTCCTGGCCTCTCCTGCCCTCCTGTTCCCTACCCTTGAGCTCACGTGACCCATGGCTAGAGGTTCCAGAGGTTGTCCTCACCCCACGCTCAGCCATATTCCTGGGCATACAACAGAGTTCTGCCCTTCCTCTCTCCCAGAAATCATCCCCATTGGGAAATAAGCAACCTCCCCAGCACCCACCTGTCCCCGCAACTCACCACCCTAAAGCAGCACCCCTTCCAAGTGTAGCTTAGAACTAGGGACTCAGGCCCTGCAGGCCTGCACTCATGTCCCCACACTGCCTGATTGGGGTAGGGGGACTTCTCTAAGTGCCAACTAGGGCAAAAAGGGCTGAGGCTGGGAATTCTGGGACTCGGCCAGATTCACCAGTGCCCCGCCTCCCTCCATGCATCCAGTGTTCATCAGGCCTGCGGCCAAGCCTCGGTTACCCTCTGCCAACCACAGGAGGAAAAGGGGGATTTAGCCGCATTTTAAGAAAAGCCACCCTGGCCACTGAGTCAGACACACACACTCCTCCCCTGGCCGTGGCTAAAGCATGTACATCTGGAGCTCACAGCCTGAGAGGATCCAGAAACTCCCACCAAAACCATGGGAAGAGCATCTCCTGCCGGCACGGAGATCCGCAGCCCACCAGGGCCTCCCCACCATTATCATGGCCCAAGAGGCCCTATCTCCCTCCTTAGGTGGGTGTTACTGTGGTTGTTTCAGAGATGGCTATAGAGACTCAGAGGTCTGGTGACAAGCCCAAAGCCACCGTGAGTGGTAGAGGCCAAATTTGATACCAGTATCTTAGGTTGGCACGCCACACTTCCCTTTGCAGATGACAGTTGTATTGAGGGTGCATGGCCCTGAGCAGGGTGGGCTTCCTTGCTTATCTGCCAGTCTCCCAGATGCTAGGCATCAGGGTCACCCCCTCCCTTCCTAAGGGATCCTTCATCTGTCACACCACAATCACTGGTCCCCTGCTGTGCTCCCCTAGTATGTCCAGGTACAGCGATGACTTTGAGAGGAACATTGCTTTATATTTTAATAATTGTACCTTTATTTTTATAAGGATGAGGGAAAAAAATCCCAATGAGAAGGTCCAACTACTGGTTTCATAGATACTGCTCCTCTGTGATCGCAGTGAGATAACATTTCCTCTAAGTAAATGCATTTAAGTTTAAAGTGAGTTAACAAAAACTATATTGAGTTAATACAATGCACATGGCTCCCTGATATGGAAGAGATCAGGGAAGATGGCAGCTGACTTGGTGAGGCTGGGGACATTGGGGCCATCTTCCTGAGAGCCCAGTCCCATGACTGACCTCCCTTTCCTTCCTTCACCCTCATTCTCAGCTGGAGATCTGGAGCCCCATTTGGGTACTGTTCAGCAGGAGACCCTCCTCAGCCAAGGCTCCTAGACACTGGACACTCCAGAGCACTCTCTTTGCCAGGCCTTGGACATTCTGCCCATGGCCTTGCTGGAACCCGTTGTGGAGTTCAGCCCTAGCCCTTCCCGAGCCAAGACACCTCCCCTTGTGACAGCCAGCCTTGTTCCTCTGCCCTCCTTGGGTTCTGAACATACATAGCTGCGGCTACAGGTTTCTAAATTCCCTCTTCTAGCTGCTAGCCTCCTGGCCCCAGAAGAGACTTTTACCTCCTCCCTGTCCTCCTTCATGCCCTTCCTTCTCTACTTCCTGGGGGGATCTTGGGGGACACGTCTGGAGTGGGCAAGCAGAGTATCTGTCTGAGACGGGCAGTGACGGTGGGGGACCCCCAAGACTCATCTGGCTCTTCCAGGCAGATGATGGCAGAGTGATCCCAGAGCAGGCAGACAGGGGGCAGAGTGGGAGCCCCAGGCTGTGCTTTGTGACCACAATCTCATCTTCCTGGGGAAGGGCTAGGCAGTGGGGAGGGATACGCTGAGCAGGCCTGAACTGAGACAGGAGCAGGATGAGTCTCACCACCTCTAGAGGCCAGGGCCCGCCCGCCCCTGGCATTGAGAGGACAGTGCAGACTCTGGGGGGTGGGAGATGGGGAGGGAGCTGGAGAGACAACCTGCTAACTCCAAGAGGCAGCAGCAAGGAGGGACTTTGGTTTGAAATGCTTTAGAATCAATTTAAGAACTTTCGAGATTCTTGGCTTTATTTAACAAAAAGAAGCTGGAGCATCTGAGTACCTCAGTTGTCCTGGCTCCCCACCCCGTACACACTCAACTTCTTTCTGCAGGGCCCAGTGGAGCTGGGAGGACCAGCGGGGCTCCTGGTGGGGGAGCCATCTGGTTGCCCTTAGGAGAGAGGTTCCACTGCCGGCCTCCAGGCAACCCTGAAAGCTCAGACATGACTTCATCTCCTGGGGCCTCCCAAGCACCTCAAGTCAGAGCACTGGGAGAAAAAAGCCCTGCCAGAGAGGCACCTGGGTTTAGTCACCTCGTCCTCCAGCCACCCTGGGCTAGCCACTCATTTAATTATCCATTCAGTCAGCAAATCTCCCCTAGGGAGCTCCAGATCTTAATCTGTAAAATGGGGATGTTAACTCCAAATCCTGTCCCACACACTGAGTGGGAAGTTCAGTGGAAGAGAATGGAGAAGCAAGGACGTTGTTGTCAATGAAAGACATTCCCAACCTGTGGTGTATGGGTCCTGGCAAGATGACCTCCCGATTACCCCTGAGCCTGTTCCAGCCACCACAAGTTCTCAAGCAGCCCTAACCCTCCCGAGACTGAGCAGCCCAGGAAACGCCAGGAGGATCGATTCCAATATAGCAAGCAGCAGGCTGCAGGCTGCAGGCTGCCGGCCCTGGGCCAATCGATACTTTCTGTTCAGTGGTGGGGCCCTGCTGGGGGACCAGGGCAGGTTCTACTGGGAGGGATATGGGGGCTGAAGGACCCTGAGCCAGGGAACTCTAGGGTAAGGGAAGCAGAACTGGGGTGTGCTGGGGGAGTTGTTATGGGAATGAAGCCCCCCACCAAGGGATGCAGATTAATGCAGATTAGGGGAGCCAGGGAGGTATGGAGGCTGCAGGTCTCCCTTCTCTCCAAAGCCCCTTAACCATCAAGGCCTACTCTAATTTTTTTTTTTTGATTGAACCCAGGGGTACTTAACCACTGAGCCACATCCTCAGTCCTTTTCATGTTCTATTTTTGAGACAAGTCTCGCTAAGATGATTAGAGCCTCACTAAATTGCTGAGGCTGGCTTTGAACTTGCAATCCTCCTGCCTCAGCCTCCTTATTGCAGGGATTACAGGCTTATGCCATCATGCCCAGCTTAATTCTTGAATCTTGAATCAGAGTCAAGGGAAGATGCTGGGGACTGGCGAAACTGAACATTACAATGAGGGAAAGCAGAAGGTGGGAAGGGGGAACGTGTCCCGCTCTGCTCAGCCTGGTAAATCAAGGAAGGTGAAAATGGGGGAGGCCGGGGTGACCAGGAAGCAGTGGGCTCCCCCAAGTGGCCAGCTGAAAATAAAGGCGCAGGTGCTGGAGAAGAGAGCGACAGTTATTTGTTCCAACAATTCCAAATTCCACGTTTATTTATGGGCCTGACTTATTTTTATCCTCCACAGCTTTCTTTTACATGAGATCACTGTAACTCATTATAAAAATTAAGATCGCAACATCTTAGTGACACCATCTCATAAGCCGTTGGACCCATCCCCACCTGGCGTCTTCACCCTGAATGTCACCGTCTAGTCTGTCCTCTGGCTGCTGCTGGGCAGCATTCACACATGACATCATCATCAGAGGAAGAGAAAGGGGAGAGAGGAGGGTGGGGGAGAAGGCGGAAGGGAGACAAAGGGGGGAAGTTAGAGGGAAGAGCAAAACCCTAAGCCTCGGCAGAGAGAGCACAAAGGACTCTGGGGGCCATTGGGGCAGGCCTCACCAGACCCCCAGCTCAGAGGACCCCGTCTCCCTCTCCCTGGAGAGATCAAGAGGCCAGGCAAGGCTGTCACATGTGTGCCTCGGATCCATTGCCTAGGCAGAGGCAGGCTGCAGGCCTGGCAAGAGGAAGGGCAAAAGGCTCTCTGGTGACACTTGCTCGGGAGCCTCCAGGGCCCCCAGGGCCTCCAGTACTAGGCAGGGC